CACTAATCCTCTGAAAAATGGAAATGTTAATTTCTGTCTCATGTGAAAATTAAATTAAATGATACCTGCAAGGTGCCTAGCACAGTTCCTGGCTCTTGATAAGAACTTAATAAATATCAATGTTGTTTTAGTTGTAATAAATTGAGTATATCTCCGCTGTATCTTTCATTCGCCCCACATTGTCATTCCCATAATGAAAACCAGATATGAAAACCCATAATGAAAATTTCTTTCCTCAACATATCTTGTTCTTGTTTCTATGAATACACACCATGGGGCACCTGGGTGGCTCAGCCGGTTAAGCGTCCGACTCTTGATTTAAGCTCAGGTCATGATCTCAGGGTCATGAGATCGAGCCAGGGTGGGGTTCCGTGCTCAGCAGGAGTCTGCTTGAGATTCTCTCCCTCTGCCCCTCCCTCTGCTTGCCCTCACTCACTCTCTCTCTCTAAAATAAATCAATAAATCTTTAAAATAATAATAAAGTTTTAAAAATACACACAATAATACAGAAATTTAGAAACTTTTTACTGAGTTTACCTCTTAAAATTATCAATATTTTCCAAGGTCTCCAAAGAAAGTTCAAGCCAACTTGTCATTCAAAGATTTATATCATCTGCCAACAACAACAAAAAAGTTTTCTTTTTTTATGTCCCAACAAGTATCATGTTATTTAGTTATTCCGCAAGAGTATTTGGTAGACTCTTAGTTTTTACTCATCATATTCCTTTATATTTTCTCTTCCTCCATTCCCTCTACCTTGTGACACTTATTTAATAGTTAGGATCATTAGTTAAGGAGTTTAATATGAGAGCCCCAGTTAACATGAATAATTTTTTTGTGCCCATGAATACATCTCCTATTTTATATAAAAATATACTTAACTTTGTATTAATTAGTATGAGTCATTTACTGGTTTCCTTTCTCTACTAGACTGGAAATTCAATACAGTCCTGGCACAGTGCTTTGCATCCAGTGATCCTCAATCAATACGTGTTTAATAAAATTATGAAGGAAGGTTAGAGATAAGTTAACAGAGACTAAATCAACAAAGCCTTCACACTGCCTGAGTTGAAATGAGTAAACAAAAAAGTATTTGCCATAATTTTATACTAGAGGAAACAGAGAGATAATAAAGGGACCTGTGCTCATTAGAGTGTGAATAATGGGATGAGGACAAGTGAGGATGTATAAATAGCTACGTGTGTTCCTTTGTACACTGGAAAGGGAGTTTGAGTGGAAGACTAAGATTTTAAATGCCAAGGCCTGAGATTCAGACATACCCCTCTTTCTTCCCAGAGAGTTCAATGCTGTGTACTTTTCTTCTTCATTGTTCTAGAGGGAAAAATGACCTGATGATGCTGGTGGATAGTTCTGAGTACTAACCTTGCAGGACTCCTTGGTGCTGAGGGAGTCATAGCCTAAAAGCCTTTTTTGGTGATTGTTTTTAGTCACTGACCTTGATCTCTGGTGAAGTTGATGCCCAAGGCTATCTGTCCCCCTCAAAGGTTGGTTGATAGGATGAGAGGATTTTATACTCTGGGTATAAATACTAAGTGTCTGATTAAGAACAAACAATGATAATGGCCTCCCACTAGAATCTTATCCCACAAGTATCCACTCTTGGGAAAAGAAACAATTAGAACTTCCCTTTCTCCATTGGTTCTCAAGTGTTTAACAGTATCACATAGGTGTGATTCATTGTTCTTATTATGTTATATAACAGTATCTAGGATGTGAGAGATATTGTTAGGACGCCAGTGAATTTCATCCAAGCCATTTTAAAATGCAAAATTTCAGGAAATTTTTAAGACATACACTAAAGAAGTTTTCTAAAGTTCTTTCCCACGGCAAAGTAGAAAACCGGGGAAAACAACCTGGTTATGTAAGATCTGAAAGTTTTTATTTTCATTGACCCCTGTTAACTGTATTTAGTTTTCATAATGTACTCAGAAAACAGTGATGCTTGGAATGTTTTAACTTGTAGCCTAAATGAAAATATCTGCTAAATATTGCATATACCCCTGAGGAGTTCCTAGCAAGAGTAAGGAGAGATGATGACTATATTTTCTTCTAAAATTAAAAGAGAAATAATGAGGAGCAATAGTAACATATGTGCTATAGAGATTATTTCAGTTCTATATAAAGGCTACATCATTTTATTTTTTTGGAAATAAAAATTATATTTAATATTTTATTCAAAATATTTATTGAATGTTATATGATTTTAACAATAATTGCAATAAATTTTCTTAATCAAATTTACTTTGAAATGCTTTAAATTATTGTTAGAAATGGGGCTTCAGGGCACCTGGGTGGCTCAGTTGGTTAAACGACTACCTTCGGCTCAGGTCATGATCCTGGATTACCGGGATCGAGTCCCACATCGGGCTCCCTGCTCGGCAGGGGAGTCTGCTTCTCCCTCTGACCCTCCCCCCTCTCATGTGCTCTCTCTCTCATTCTCTCTCTCTCAAATAAATAAATAAAATCTTTAAAAAAAAAAAGAAATGGGGCTTCAACCTTTTTTGTAAAGGTACTTTTGCCAGTTGCTATGAGAAGAGCAAAAACCTAGAACGGAATAATTCGTAAACCCTATGGAAAATGTTACTTATTAATAATCAAACCTTAGAACAAGAAATAATGGTACAATGCAAGACACAATTTTTGTTCTTAAGAATTTGACAATTTTGATAGAGATAATATCCACAAGCACGCATTAATAGTAAACAAAAACAGAAATGACATCATTATTATAGTATGTGTGATGAACCAGAAGTGTGTCTGATAATAGCCTGGAGTGGCCAGAAATGCATGGAGAATTAAACACTTCTGTTTTCCATTGAAAGGTATGTAAAATTTGGAAAGGGAAAATGAAATCAAGAAGTCATTTCAGAAGGGATTATGCTAAGTGAAATAAGTCAGACTGAAAAAGACAAATACCATATGATTTCACTCATATTTGGAATCTAAAAAACAAAACAAATGAATAAACAAACAAAAAAATCAGAATCAGACCAATAAATACAGGGAACAAACTGATGGTTGCAAAAGGGAAGGATGGTGGGGGATGAGCAAAATGGATGAAGGGGAGTGGGAGAGACAGGCTTCCAGTTATGGAAATGAATAAGTCACAGGAATAAAAGGCACAGCATAAGGAATATAGTCAATGATATTGTAATAATATTGTATGGTGACAAATGGTAGCTATATCTGTGGTGAGCCTAACATAATGTATAGAGTTGAGTCACTATGTTATACACCTGAAACTAATGTAACATTGTGTGTCAACTATACTCAAATTTAAAAAAAAAATTGAGCTTTTGCCCAGTGAAGGAAACCATCAACAAAACAAAAAGGCACACTACTGAATGGGAGAAAATATTTGCAAATGATATACCCAGCAAGGGGTTAATAAACAAAATATATGAAGAACTTAAAATATTTATACAACTCAACACCAAAAAAAACCCCAAACAATCTTATTAAAAAATGGGCAGAGGAGCTTATTTTCCAAAGAAAATATATGGATGGCCAACAGACACATGAAAAGCTACTCAATAACATTAATCACCAGAGAAAGGCAAAGCAAAACCCCAATGAGATATCACCTTACACCCATCAGAATGACTAAATTCAGAAGGACAAGAAATATCAAGTATTGGTGAGGATGTGCAGAAAAAAGAATGCTTGTGTACCATTGGTGGGAATGTAAATTGGTACAGCCACTGTGGAAAACAGCACAGAGGTTCTTCAAAAAGTTAAAAATAGAAATATCATATGATCCAATAATTCCACTACTGGATATTTACCCAAAAGAAACAAAAACACTAATTCAAAAGGATATATGCACTTTTATGTTTATTGCAGCATTATTTACAATAGCTAAAATATGGAAGCAACTTAAGTGTCCATCAATACATGAGTGGATGAGGAAGATGTGCTATATCTATACAATGGAATATTGTGCAGCCATAAAGAATGAGATCTTGCCATTTGCAACAACATAGATGGACTTAAAGGGTATTATGCTAAATGAAATAAGTCAGACTGAGAAAGACAAATACCATATGATTTCACTCGTATGCGGAATCTAAAAACCAAAACAAATGAATAAACAAACAAAAAGCAGAATCAGATCCATAAATGCAGAGAACAAATTTTTGGTTGCCAGAAAGGAGAGGAGTAGGGGAGAGGGGGCTCAGCAAAACAGGGGAAGGGGAGTGGGATAAACAGGCCTCCAGTTATGGAATGGGTAAGTCATGAGAATAAAAGGCACAGTATAGGGAATATGGTCAATGGTATTATAATAGTGTTGTATAGTGACAGATGGTAGCTACATTTGTGGTGAGCATAGCATAACATATAGACATGTTGAATCACTATGTTGTACACCTGAAACTAAAGTAACATTGTGTGTCAACTACGCTTGAATTAAAAAAAGAGAGAAAGAAAAGCATACTGGTAAGACCTTACCATAGAGTTCTGGTAGGTGGTATATGTTATCTATTATGATTAGACATAGTCTTCAAGCCAAACATGTAAAATTAAAATAGTTTATGAACCCTATATGATAACCACAACCATTTACAATATATTGTCCTTTCAAATAACTAGTAGAAGTTAAAAGTCTTGAAAAACATATTAAAAGATAATTCAAGAATTATCAAAGGAATTGTACTTGACTTATTTCACCTATTTAAGTTAGCAAATAACCATTCTTATGCATTCTATTTCTAGGAGATACCTTAACTCTGCAAATTTTATTTGTCTGCACTTTGCTTTCTAACCCCAATACGCTTGGTGCTCTCTGGTGTCCATATGGTGTCCAGTTCTATGTCCAATACACCTTATCATATGGTGCTGCTTTCCATATGACTGACATTATGAATCCAGTCCCTCCTGCATTGTTTTTCCAAATTATCAAGTAGTCACAAGAATCTCATTACTTGTGGACATAACATTGTTGTCTCTGGACTGTTTCCTTATCAAACCTTGTTGGAGAATTATAAATTTTTGCTCAGGCAAAATACCCCTTTTATTCTTTTTTCAAGGATCTTATTTAGGGCAACTTTGACATCCTTATTCCGCAGGCTGTAGATCAGGGGATTCAGCATGGGCACAATGATGGTATAAAACACAGAGGACAATTTCCCTTGGTCCACGGAGCTCACAGAAGATGGCTGCAGGTACATGAATGTAGCAGATCCATAGAAGAGAGCAACAGCTGAGATGTGGGAGCTGCAGGTGCTGAAGCCTTTGGACCTGCCTTCAGTGGAGCGGATTCAGAGGATGCTGGAGAGGATGAAGATGTAGGAGCTAAGGATCATCAGGCTGGGGACAAGGATATTAAATGCACTGAAGCACAAAACTACCACCTCATTAATGTAAGTACTGGAGCAGGAGAGCTCCAATAGTGGGAAGAGATCACAGAAGTAATGGTTGCTTCTATCAGCCTTGCAGAAAAGCACTCTTAGCATACAGCCTGTGTGAGCTGTGGCACCAGTCAAGCCCATGATATACACCCCAACTACCAGCCAGGAACAGACCTGATAAGACATGGTGACATTGTAAAGCAATGGGTTACATATGGCAACGTAGCGGTCATAAGCCATTGCAGCCCACATGTGACATTCTGATATAACAAAAACAAGGAAGAAATAGAGCTCAGTCATGCATGCTTGGTAGGAGATAAAATTCCTCTCTGTCACAAAGTTTGTCAGCATTTGGGGAGTAACAACAGTGGAATGGCAGAGATCAATGAAGGACAAGCTACTGAGGAAGTAGTACATGGGGGTATGCAAGTGAACGCTAAGCCCTATCAGAGTGATCATGCCCAGGTTCCCCACCACCGTGACCACATAGATTCCTAGGAAGAGGAAGAAAAGGGGCAGCTGGAGTTCTGGTTGTTGTGTTAGCCCGGTGAGGATGAACTCAGTCACTGTGGAATGATTTCCTGCTGTCATTTTCCTCTGGGAATTTTATGTAGAAAGAGAAGAAGAAAATTTGTGGTAGATATTTATTGTCCCACCATGTAATGTAGTATGAAACAGAATTTGTCTTTGTCTTTTCAACCAGGTGGCTCCAGTTCTATGTCTGTCCGTGATCTATGTTAGCACTCAAAGACCCCGAGGTCTCAGGAATATGGGGCATGTAAATAAATATCAGAAAGAATAATCCCTTTTTTGTTCTATGCTTCAAGAGTGGGTCTTATGCACTCCTATATATTGCAGCATTATTTACAATAGCCAAATTATGGAAGCAGCCCAAGTGTTCACAGATAGATGAATGGATGAAGATGTGATATATATAGATATGTGTGTGTATTTATTTATTTATAATGAAATATAATTCAGCCATAAAAAAGAATTAAATCTTGCCATTTGCAACAGCATGGATGAACCTAGAGAGTATAATGCTAAGTGAAATAAGCCAGTCAGAGAAAGACAAATACCATATGATTTCACTCATATGCAGAATTTAAGAAACAACAAATGAACAAAGGAAAAAAAATAAGAGTCAAATAAAAAAACAGACTCTTAACTATAGAGAATAAACAGATAACAGAGGGGAGGTGGGTGGGGAATGGGCAAAATAGAAGGGGATTAAAAGTAAACTTATCTTAATGAGCCCTGAGTTATATAGGGAATTGCTGAATCACTATATTGTACACTGAAATTAACATAATACTGTATGTTTAACTGGAATTTAAAAAAATAGAGAGGGTCTTAGTATTGCCCAGTCCATAAATATCCAAATAAATTTTTTGTTAACTTTGATTGTTATAAAAACTTTCCATGACTTGTTTTTATTACTCTCAGCTCTTATGCAGAACAAATACTAGTATGCCTGGCTTATGTATTAGATAACTGAGGGTTATAATGGTTGGATATTTGCCCATATTTAGGCGTGTAATAAGTAAATGATCAAGAATATGAGCTAAGGCCTGTCTGTCTCACCTTCTATATCTTATTTTAGCTACTTATGTCTTCTCCCCTATCTTTAGCTCTTTGTCATAGCAAACATGTCATTCACAGCAATTAATGTGAAGGAAAAAATTTATGTAAAGTACTACAATAGTGTATTGACAACTGGTCCAGTCTAGACTCCCTGTAGTGAGTACCTTGATTATTGGCATCTTTTAAAAAATACAGAAATAGTAGCTCTGGAAAGTAACTGGATAGCTAACAACAAGTCTATTATTCAACTTCAATTCCACATGCAGGAAGGGCATGAGTTTCCTAATGAGGAATTCAGAAGTATGAAACCTTAAAGTCCAAATTCGTTTATTCCAAAAACACTTATGGAATATTCACAATTAGTTAAGTGCTTTGTATGACTTGATGTGGTCTGTGACCCTTGGAACTTATGTTCTGGGAGAACAGAGCTGCAGAATGTCAATCTTGCAGATACACACTAAAACAATGTGCACATTGTCTTGGTGTCTTTGTACTTACCCTCAAACCAGAGCTTTTAAAAGCACTCTTTGAAGGCACAAAAAACCAAAGCAGAAAGAATATATGTATCTTTCAGTCTCTGGGATAGGGGTTTGGAAAAAAGCTGATGATTCCAAGTACAGTATGCTGTGATGATCTATCTTCAAAAGAAAGAGATCCAAGAGATACCATCACAGATTATTGGTATGTCAAAAACAAAGGTATGTATATTTAGATAAAAATTGAAAGACTTACAATAACCAAATTATGGAAACAGCCAAGTATCCATCAACTGATGAATGGATAAAGAAACTGTGATATATATACATATATATATATGTTGTTAAATACATAATAAATATAGTGTTAAATATGTTCACATTGTTGTGAAACAGATCTCCAGAACTTTTTCATCTGAAACTCTATACCCATTAAATAAATTCCCTTTTCAATAAATAAATAAATAAATCCCCTTTTCTCCCTCTTCCTCGGGCCCTGGTAACTCCTATTCTACTCTATGTTTCTATGAATTTAATTACTTTAGATACCTCACATAAATGTAATCATACAGTACTTATATTTTTGTGACTGACTTATTTCACTTAACATAATGTCCTAAAGATTTCTCCAACTTAAATGACTCAAAGGGCAGGGGGGAGAGAGGGTGAAGTTCTAAAATTAGGACATGGTGATGGTTGTTCAACTCTATGAATATACCAAAAACCACTGAGTTGTACACATTGCACAGGTGAATTTTGTGGTGTGTGAATTACATCTCAATGAAGCTGTTATAAATAAGAAAAACAACTGCAACAAAATGATAATGATATCATACTGACTATACAAAACATTCCATCACGACCTGCAATGGCAATTTGCCATTGTCCTCCAAGCCTTCCCCGTCTAGGTCATGCCAGTGTATGCCTCTTTATTTACGCCAAATATGCCCGTTTAGTTTTTCTTCAAACAATGAGATCTGGGGCGCCTGGGTGGCTCAGTCGTTAAGCGTCTGCCCTCGGCTCAGGTCATGATACCAGGGTCCTGGGATTGAGCCCCGCATCGGGCTCCCTGCTCAGCTGGGAGTCTGCTTCTCCCTCTCCCTCTCCCCCTGCTTGTGTTCTCTCTTTCGCTGTGTCTCTCTCTGTCAAATAAATAAATAATTAAATAATTAAAAAAACAAAACAAAACAAAACAAAAAAACAATGAGATCTTCCCCTCCAAAAAATTGTGCAATGTTGGCTCAAAAATTATAACTATTTTTTACAATTATAATATTTTTTCTTTCTGATAGTAAACAAGAAAATATAGGCCTTAACCATAAATGGGTTAATTTGTTAATTGTTAATGAGTTACAGATTAAAGAAAGAAATATACTCTATTTAAAATGTTTCTCCTTTGTCCTATAAGTCTTCATTAGAGAAAAAAAAATCAACAAGTACAAAAGAAGTAAACAGTAAAGGTCTGAAAAACAGTGTCAGAAAATACTCAGGACACTTAAGTGAGGTACCCAATAATTTGCTGCCTGATGTCTGCTTTCCTTTCACTCCCAGATAACCAGAAAGTTTGCCATCTCCAGCAGAAACCAACCATCTCTGGCTCTGGGTCAATTCTGTACTTTACTGTGAGGAATTTAAGTATGTCTAGTGCACAAAATTGTCAACTCATGATCAAACCAAACCTGTTGCCAGTTTTGTAAACCCCAAATGGTAGTTTCTCTATTATCTTTTACAAAATTCCAGTTATTTCTTTTAATCCATCCCCCAATTTTACCTTACCTGATACCAAAGGGGCTGAGTTGTGATATCCTTCCATATTTCTGAATCTTTACAATGGCCAACTGACTGTTTCTCCTGTACTCTTGGCCCTTCACAAAGTGACCCACTAAGTATTCCTGCCCATCACAGAAGCTCCATTATATCTTGTCCAATATTTGTAATTTTCACTGTGGGTGTTGGGCTCTTACTCATTACGTGTGACCAGTTCCCTCTGAAGTCTGACTCTGACACATGGTCACAGTTTCCATTATTTCCTGGTCCCAGGTGACACCACCTGTCTGTCCGAATGCTCAGGACTGGTATAGCTGGAGAATTTCCAACATTGCATCAGTGGTCTTTTCTTACCTTAGTCAAATCTGTCTTAGTGATGAATGCTGCCTGAGAAAAACACCAAAACAGCTTAAGAAAGAAAAAAAAAAATGTTGGGGTCTTATAAAAGTAAGATTATGACTTATAACCAGAATAAGATCATTAAGGTAACCCAGATTTTTTTCTTTAGTTTTACTAGATTAGTAGACTAAAAGCATGTTCTGCATGGGGCACTGGGTGTTATATGAAAACAATGAATTGTGGATCACTACATCAAAAACTAATGATGTATGGTGACTAACATAACATAATAAAATAAAATAAAATAAAATAAAAGCTTGTTCTAGTCCTAGATTATCTTGATTATTTTATTTATTTTTTTCAAGATTTTTATTTATTTATTTGACAGAGAGAAAGACACAGCAAGAGAGGGAACACTAGCAGGGGGAGTGGGAGAAGGAGAAGTAGGCTTCCTGCTGAGCAGAGAGCCCGATGTGGGACTCGATCCCAGGACCCTGGGATCATGACCTGAGCCGAAGGCAGATGCTTAATGACTGAGCCACCCAGGCACCCCTATCTTGATTATTTTAAGGTGTTTGCTAAATTTCTTGTGATAGTCTACAGACATGATAAAGTTATGTGTGGTAGGTAAAAATATAGAACAAACATCATAGTTATATGAATTCAATGAACATCTAAAATTAATCATAAAGTGAGAAATTTTAAGTTATTATTCCATAGGACTATATACTTAGTCTTGTCTTGAAAAACATGCTATCATTAACTTGGATGATGCCATAGAAGAGATCATGAAACTCAGAGATAATGTTAACACAGAAAAGAGTAATAAACACTTGTATGATGATAATGATTTAAGAAGAGAATGTTAAGCTGTGAATCTAGACAGATATTAAAAAGAATTTAGAAATCTTGCCATTTGCATGACATATCAGATAAAGGGCTAGTATCCAAAATCTATAAAGAACTTATCAAACTCAACACCCAAAGAACAAAGAATCCAATCAAGAAATGGGCAGAAGACATGAACAGACATTTTTCCAAAGAAGACATCCAAATGGCCAACAGACACATGAAAAAGTGCTCAACATCGCTCAGCATCAGGGAAATCCAAATCAAAACCTCAATGAGATACCACCCCACACCAGTCAGAATGGCTAAAATTAACAAGTCAGGAAATGACAGATGTTGGCAAGGATGCGGAGAAAGGGGAACCCTCCTACACTGTTGGTGGGAATGCAAGCTGGTGCAGCAGTATGGAGGTTCGTCAAAAAGTTGAAAATAGAGCTACCATACGATCCAGCAATTGCACTACTGGGTATTTACCCCAAAGATACAAAAGTAGGGATCCGAAAGGGTACGTGCACCCCAATGTTTATAGCAGCAATGTCCACAATAGCCAAACTGTGGAAAGAGCCAAGATGTCCATCG